CCCGCCGGCATTCTTCTGTGGGCCGTTGCCTTCGCTGACCTTCCCTCTTTCTCCCCCCCCCCCCCCTGGCTCGTGGGTAGCCATGGCCGGCAAGCGCGACCGCCTGCTGGAGATCCTGCGTGGCGTCGGCATGACGGCCTACTCGCCGCACGGGTCGTACTTCATCCTGGCCGACGTTCGGTCGTTGGCCGGGCGGGTGCCGGCCGAGGCGGACCCGCTGGGCGACCCGTATGCCTTCTGCCACTGGATGACCCGGGAGATCGGCGTGACGGCCATTCCCACCGGGAACTTCTACTCGCCGGAGCACCGGCACCTGGCGCAGGGGTTCATCCGGTTCTGCTTCTGCAAGACCGACGACATGATCGAGCAGGCCGGCGAGCGTTTGCAGCGCCTGGTGTCCATGTAAGGCAAGGGGGGAAAGACCGGCAGGCGGCTTTCCTGCCTCGCTGTCTGCTATGTTGCTTGGTTCTCCGTGCCGGGGCCGTGGGTCTGTCTGTTGTCCCTGCCGCCTGCACAGCCGCCGCACCCCACACTACACCCTCCCCCCCCCCCTCTCTCTCTCTGTCCTCGGGGCGGTGTTGTCGGGGAGGGGCCTTGGGGGAAGAGGGGTAGATAGCCGCAGAGGCTGAAACGGGGAGGGGGGGGGGGATGCCGGGTGGGGGGGGCATCATCGAGGCGCCCAGGGCATGGGATTCTTGCCCTGCCTCTTCCATACGCACACGCGCACGTGCACACGAGGCTGGGCACCTCTGACTGCCGGCCCCCGGTGAGCGGGCCCATGTCCGCGCAACTGCCCGAACGAGGGGGTAGGGGGCCGGCAGCCCCGGGACAATGGACCAACGGAAAGCAGGGATTTATAGCACACCGTGTGACTAGACACTACCATCCGGTTGAGTGGTGTAATGGTTATCACGGCAGACTCTGAATCTGTCAATCCGAGTTCGATTCTCGGCTCGACCTTTCTTTTTTGTCCCGGGCGCCGGCGCCGTACACCTTGCGGGGGGACACCGAGGCAAAAAGAAAAAAAAGAAACACAGGCACGAGAGAAGCGGGCGCGCGGGCGCGCGCGCCGCCAGAGGCCGGGTGGCGTGGCGCGGTACGTGGGGCAGCCGAGAAGGGGGGGGGAGGGGGAGGGCGGGGGGTGCGCATATGCGCACAGACTGGGCAAAAGGGCTATACCGGGAGGGAGACGGATGTCGGCATTTTGCCCATTGCTGAGGGGGCGGGCAGGAGAAAAAGCCCGCAGGACTCTGCTCTGCCCCGCCGATCCTCCTCTCCCCCCCCCCTGGGGCCTGGCAAAATGGACCTCTGGTGGCCAGGGCAAAAGTGAAGGTCGAGCCGAGAATCGAACTCGGATTGACAGATTCAGAGTCTGCCGTGATAACCATTACACCACTCAACCTGGAACCGTGAACATGAGGGACATAGTGGGGCATATATACCACCCTTAACCCAAGCACCGGCTTCGCCATTCCCCAACACCACGCCGAGTCAGATCCACAGTCTGGGCGCATTGGACTGCCTACCAACGTCGATAGCACCACAGAACCACAACACCATTCTCCGGGCGAGGGATCTGACAGCGCCTCACGACGTTCCCTCATTCCAGTCCTATTCTGCACAAGCTATCGGCGTGTGCGAATGGGCTAACGTCCTCAAAAATCAAGGGGGTTCGGTGCACGTACACGCCGGTTGACCGTCCCTCGCCCGCCTTTGTGCACCCGTCTGCCTGTGGAAAGAAGGAGGGTCCCCGCGCGCCGTCGCAGAGCCCGCCGGCGGAGAGCACCCCCAATACCGCCCTTGCGCGCGCCCTGGCACGCCGCTGGCCTGGGACCAGCCCCTGTGCCCGGAAACGCCGAGTTTGTCACATTGTTACCATCATTTGCTGTGAATCTTCCCCGATCCGAATTCCCCCTTCCCTCTCCCTTCCCCCAGTTATGTCAATGCAAAGAGGCGGCGGTCAGGGGCGTGGTCTATTGCTGTTGCGGTGGATCCCTGGGGGCGTGGGTATGTTTGGGTGGCGCAGATGTATATGTAGGTAGGGGAGAAGATGGGGGGCCTGAGAGAGAGAAAAAGATAGAGAAGGGCGGCCAGAGCGGATGATGCATATATATATATATATATATATATCCGTGGCTCGACCCGGTCGTGGTCCAGGTGCTGCTGAGCGGGGTCCATCAGAGGACCGGCTTGACGGACTCCTCCTTGAGCTCGCTCAGTTGGCCGATCTGCTCGTCGGACATCTTGTCCAGGGTGTTCATATCCAGGTGCGTGCCGACGCGGTGACGGTCGGCCTGTCGTGCCGGTGTGCGTGTGCGTGTGTGTGTGTGTGTGTGGGGGGGGGGGGGGGTCATCGGAGGCGTCAGATCCGGGCCGCGGCCGGCATAATCAGGAGAAGCCGTCGACGCCCACTGTTGCATGAGTGAGGCGCTGGCCGGTGCACCGGCGCGGTATGTGCGCACCTTCAGCTGAGACTCCAGCGAGATGAGGTAGTCCGTCCAGGCGGCCATGAAACCGGCCACATACTTCGGGTCGGCCTCCTTGTGTCTGAGATGATGATGATGATGATGATGATGATGATGGTGTGTGTGTGCGTGTGCAGATGCACCCCTCCACCCAGGAGGCGAGCAGGCGGATATGAGTCAGTATAAGGCCCGAGGATCTTTCTCCTGCAGGCTCCCCCACCTGGCTGCATGTAGAGAGACAGCAACGGGGGGGAGGGGGGGGGGCAGCATGTACGCCCCGGCTGGCAAGTCAAGGCGCACCGGCGGAATTCATCCCGGACATAGGCATTCCCGATGGCGGCCAAGTTCATCGGCAGGGCGCGGTGCGCGCGCAAGATCTGCCGGTACAAGGTCAAGGCCGGGAAGTTCTTCACCGCGCTGTTCAGGGCAGGGTGCGACATGGTTCAGGTGGAGAGTCGGGGCCGATCGGGACAAGGGGCGAGGGAGGGGCACGATCGCAGGAAAAAGGGGCGGGCGAGGGGCGATGTGACGGGAAGGGGGCGCAGAGGAGAGGGGTGTTGTCCCGCCGCCAGCTGGCCCGACGGCGGGGGGAGCTGGTGGCTTTTTTGGCGGGCACGCCCGTGTGCGTGTGTATGCAAGGCCGGGGGGGGGGGAGTCGTATGTCCGTGAGCGTGAAAGATCCCCGGCGATCGGCCCCCCGGGGGCATCGGCCCCGCGCCGTCGAGGGCGAGATCACGTCGCCATCACGGGCCGGCATCCATTGGCACCCGAGAGAAACGGCTAGCTTTTCGTGCCAGCGGGCGGCGGGGCCGGGTTCTCGCCTCCCGCGTACGTGCGCATGTGTGCGTGTACGCGCGCATCGACCTGCCTCCCCCTCCCATGGAATCGGCGACTGGGGGCCTGCCACGGGCCCGGCGCTTGCGCCGCGAGATCGACGGCCCCTCGTTCATGAGAAGCCCGCGCGGGACCATCCCCACCCGGGGCCACTCAACCCCTCTCTCCCCTTTTCCTGCTTCGCCTTCCCCGTCTCCTCCTTGCCTCCCCCCCCCCCC